CCCAAAAAACCCTTGGAAATCCCAAGAAATCCGTGCTGACCAGGCTCTGGTTGTCGTGGCGGTGCACGCTGAGCCGCCGCTGCCGCAGCACCACGTGCGTGATCTCGCGGAAATCGCAGAAACGGCTCCAGGGGGGATCGGGGGCAGCGTCCGATCCCGGGATCCGACCTTTCCTCCCCAAATATCCGCGCAGGGATGGGGAATCCGGGAGCTGCGGGGGGAGAATTCCTGGTTTTTCATGCTGGGGAGGGATGGAGGGGGAATGGGGTGAGGGGAGGATGAGGGAGGGTGGGAATGGTGGGAAAGGTTCTGGAAAAGCCCAAAAGCCAAATAATGGGATTGGAAATATTGGGATGGGAATATTTGGATTGGAATATTGGGGTGGGAATGCTGGGAAAGTTTCTGGGAAAGCATAAAAAAGCCAAATAATGCGGTGGGAATATTGGGATGGGAATATTGGGGTGGGAATGTTGGGATGGGAATGTTGGGAAAGGTTCTGGAAAAGCATAAAAAAGCCAATTAATGGGATAGAAATATTAGGATGGGAATGTTGGGATGAGAAAATTGGGATGGGAATATCGGGATGGAAATATTGGGATGGGAATATTGGGATGGGAATGCTGGGAAGGATTCTGGAAAAGCCCAAAAGTCAATTAATGGGATGGGAATGTTAGGATGGGAAAGTTGGGATGGGAATGTTGGGATAGGAATGTTGGGGTGGGAATATCGGGAAAGGTTCTGGGAAAGCATAAACAAGCCAAATAATGGGATGGGAATATTGGGAGGGGAATGTTGGGATGGGAATGCTGGGAAAGGTTCTGGAAAAGCCCAAAAGTCAATTAATGGGATGGGAATACTGGGATGGGAATGTTGGGGTGGGAATGTTGGGATGGGGATAGTGAGTGGGATTTTGGGATTTGGATGGGAATGGTGAGTGGGATTTTGGGATTTGGATGGAAATGCTCAGTTGGATTTGGATGGGAATGCTGGGAAAAATCCCTATCAAATTGGGATTAAACTGGAAACGCAACCAGGAAAAACCCAGGACCACAAACCACAGGATAAATCAGGATTTGGGGTGGGAACAGCTCATCCCATCCCAATCCCAATCCCAATCCCAATCCCAA